AAAACAGTTCATCTAATCTTTACAAACAAAAAATGGATCATGTACCGTCGCTCACAATCGATGGAACTACTATAACATACAACGATACAACTAAATATCTGGGAATGACCTTAGATGCCTAGCTGAGATGGAAAGAACACGTGAAGAAAAAAAGGACAGAAATAGGTTTAAGGTGTAGACAACTATACTGTTGATTGGACGTGGCTCCAAACTGGCTATACAAAACAAAATATTATTATATAAACAAGTCATAAAGCCTATGTGGACATATGGTATTCAACTATGGGGTTGTACCAAACACAGCAATATCAAAATAATACAAACATTCCAAAATAAAATCTTACGTAACATGGTCAATGCACCTTGGTACGTAAGGAATAAGGACTTACATAGGGATCTTAAGATCCCTGAGGTCACGGCGGAAATACAAAGATTTGCCGCCAAACACCATGCTCGCCTCAGCCAGCACAAGAATGTGGAAGCAACCATACTCCTACATAACCGAAACACTGTCAGAAGATTAAAAAGAACAAAGCCATATGAACTTGTGCCGTTATAAGTGAATAGTGAATAGTGAAATGTAAATCTTATTGTACCAATGGGTTTATAAGAATGTAAACATTTATTTATTCTATAATATTATTGGAAAATTAATGGTTGGTATAATAAGACCAGTTTTAATAAATAAATTTCATTTAAAAAAATAATAAAATTGGACATAAACAATCCAAGAACCACTTGAAAAAAGGATCTTCGATGAGGTCATAACGCACTCAACTGTGACCTCACCGAAGATCCTTTTTCCAAGTTGTTCAACAGCATGTCGATCCATCATCTCATCTTTAATCCAAGAACCTACTAGCAAACTTGGGAAAAAAAGTAACAACAGAATCTATCAAAATAGGCAGAAAAAAAGTCCAATCCTAACAGAAATTTTAACCCAACATTGCAGACTGAATGCGTATGTGAGGAGGACTGGTATAACACCATTCGACAGTACACACACAACAGAGAAAATTCCAACATACTTACTAACAATCTGTGGGGTCACATTTCCCCGCAGGAGGAAGGGTTTTGGGATGTACAACGTAACCTAGAAGAAATTCAACCTCTGAGACCTATTCAAGTTCCTTGATGAACCAGTACTCACTGTGCTATAAGCACAGAACGGAGGGTGTAAAGGACGCAGTATACCATACACCCCGATTAATACGTCAATATCTACATCTAACGTAATTGGAGGTCAATATTCCACCATGGACCCTCTCATACAACACACTCACGAGGGGCGTCGGTGCCGCAACGGTAGGCATTAACACGGCGCTCGTAAGGTAAAGGTCGCGGGTTCGAATCCAGCTGCCCTATATTCGAACCCGGCATACTTACAAATGGGCTTTGTTTTGAAAAACACTGGTACCCTGAGGGTTTATATGACTTCTGCTATTGCAAACCCTCGTAAAAAAAGACACTCACGCTAATAAATACCTCACACTATGTTATACAACAATATCAGCACTACATAAAATAAATCATCCCTGTTTTCTCCAAAAATCGACAAAAGGGCCCAGATTCTCGCTGCTGTGCTCGAACACGATTCTTGAATCGGGTGGCATTCTTACACGCTCTCTGTATGGATCCAGAGAATTGCACCCTGCAATTAGGTGGGACTCATCAGGCAACCTTCTTATCCATGCCAGATATATATTGGCCCAAAGTAAGTATCCATGTGTCAACCTCGCGGTTGGATAGCCGTCCTTTATCGGGTGGTATCCCGTTCGTTCCACACTCCGCGTTAGATCCTCCGAGGGCCACTCATCGACAGTGCTCTTCATACATGAGAGATTTAAATTCAAACAATTGTTTTATAATTTTTACAATTTTATTATTAGCAACACATGTTATTATTTAATTGAACAGAGGAAAACATTATTTTATTACAATTTCACATTAATTCATATGATTATTCGGAAAACGTGAGATGCGGTCTGGTGTGACATAGGTTTCAGAAAAACATTTTCTTTATCGTGCCAACGTTTCGATCTTTATTGAGATCATCTTCAGGGCTCAAACTGTTTGTTTTCTGCGCAATTGAGTGTTTGTTGTTTTTCTGAAACCTACGTCACACCAGATTTCCGAATAATCATAGACTAACGGTCACTAATCACCACACATTAATTCATATGTATTAACCAACTGAGGTAGTTCTAGATTTGTCGTTCTGTTGGACCGGAGGAATAAATTGTCAATTGTAATCCAAATTAGTACAACAAAGAAAAATTCATCCTACGGAGATTTAAAATCTAAATTGGTAAAGAGAAATAAATCAATAAAAAATTAAATGTATTTCCATGTGGAAAACAAAGAAAATAAATAAATCTTCTTTTATTGACTTGACTAATGATTGATTTATTAAAAAATGAATAAAGATAAATCCTTCATCAATTTATTTTGATGTATAATTGTAATTATAATAATTCATATATGTTTAGCGGTCATAATTAGCCTTATTAATTATTTCAATTAATTATTCTTTTTATCTTTGAGATGAAAAAGTTAGTGTCATGAGCGGGATTCCAACCCGAAGATTAGAAGCCGAAGGTCGTGGGTTCGAATCCCGCTCGTGATACTATTCACTTCAATCAAGAACTTAGATAGAAAGAATAACTAATTGAAATGTTTTTATTATAAACATTAAAAATCTTTCTATCTCTGAAAGAGAAGATTAAAAAAAAATTTTGCTATTATATTTTTCAGCTTAAAAACCCTGTCAACCTTTGAAATTTTTCACAGTTCGTTTGTTAAAGGATCCCATGTGGTATTTTTGATCATATTACTCCTGTTTAGGATGACGGAATTAGGGTGATAACTGTATTTACATCATCGTATGTGTTTGCACGTAAAACGTTTCCTCTTTGCCTTTGCACTTGTTGAATGTTTACCTACTTAGCCCTGTTGTGGGAATCAGGTACAAAGCTCCACCCTCTCACTTCGTTTGTCCATTAAGGGAAATTTCCTTAATTGGTTTTCGTCTCATTAAAGTAGCCTAAAAGTTAAACTCGGCAATAGCTTCGATTTTCCTAAACAAAATCCAATTGATTTCAGCCAATTAACAGTTGAATCACCTTCAATATTCAATAGTATTGTAATGTCGTTCGACTTCTTTTTCGCGACACCAACTTAGGATTAAAGCCTTCCTGTAGGACAGTATTAACTTTTCGATGTCTTTTGGCTTAAAAAGTATATTTAATTTGACATAAATACAATTTTAAATATTGTTAAAATATTGAATGAGATAATTGTTGGCCCTAAAAGTTCAACTGTAAAAAGAAAACTTGCCAAATTAAAGAAAATGGAAATATTAATTTAATTTTTAATTTCTAGAGGTTTTTTCTCAAGATCTCGTTTAAAAAGTGGTGTCAGTCAGATTTCGTACCCAAAAGAAGATAAATATAGTACTGCCTTTTTTTTCCGATAGTCGAAACTTTTCATCTTTATGGAGAAAAATAAATGGAATAATAAAAAAACGAAGAAGAACAGTCATTATTGTTTTTATAAATAATACTAAACCCGCCAAAATATTATAACTGTGATCGATTTACGGACCAAAATTCAACATAGTTCTCTAACAGAATTTGCCAAATTAAAGAAAATTTTGAAAGAAGAAAAGAATGAAAGAAAGAAAAAAGAAAAAATATCAATTTAATTTCCACATGTTTTTTTCTCAAGATCTCATTTAAAAAGTGGCGTCGGTCAGATTTCGCGCCCAAAAAAAAGATAAATTTGGTACTGCTTATTATCTATTCTGATAGTCGAAACATTTTGGCTTTATGAAAAAAATAAATGGGATAATAAAACAACGAAAGTACGGTCATTATTGCTTTTGTAAATAATACAAAACCTGAGAAATTATTATAACTGTGTTCTATTTACGAACCAAAATTCCAAGTTCGTTAAAAATATTGCCTAATTAGAGAAAATGAACAATATCAATTTAATTTCCAGACTGTTTTTTCTCAAGATCTCTTTTAAAAAGTGTTTTCGGTCAGAATTCGCGTCCAAAAAATATAAATATGGTACTGCTTGTTATCTATTCTGGTAGTCGAAACTTTTTATCTTTGTGAAGAAAAAATAAATGGGTTAATAAAAAAAAACGATAAGTACGGTCATTATTGTTTTTGTAAATAATACTAAACCTGCGAAAAAATTATAACTGTGATCTATTTACGGACCAAAATTCGACATAGTTCGTTAAAAAAAAATTGCCAAATTAAAGAAAATGAACAATATAAATTTAATTTCTAGAGGTTTTTTCTTTGGATCTCATTTAAAAAGTGGTGTCGGTCAGATTTCGCGTTCAAAATAAGATAAATATGGTACTGCTTGTTATCTATTCCGATAGTCGAAACTTTTCATCTTGGTGGAGAAAAAATAAATGGGATAATAAAAAAAACCGATAAGTACAGACAATATTGTTTTTGTAAATAATACTAAACCTGTGAAAATATAACTGTGTTCTATTTACGCACCAAAATTAGTTCGTTAAAAAAATTGCCAAATTAAAGAAAATGAACAATATAAATTTAATTTCTAGAGGTTTTTTCTTTAGATCTCATTTAAAAAGTGATGTTGGTCAGGATTCGCGACCAAAAGAAGATAAATATGGTACTCCTTGTTAAACTTCCATAGCCAAAAGGTTTACGAGTTTTCAGACAGGAATTCTTAAGTTTATAAGCCCGACGGGGGCGCTTTGACCAGTTTTCTAATAAACTTAAGTGTTATGAAGTTTGTAAATATGCATCAAGGCTCCATCAGTCAGGGAGATCGTTCGGAAAATAAACGATTGGGGGCTGACGTGAGCCAGGTCGGCGATCAGGAACTGCTGCCGTTTTCCGGCTGTTTATCTCCAACACCATCTTCCCGAGCGCATTCATTTTTAGACGAACCACGAATTCAGATGAAGGGGCGAGACCACTTTAATTGATTGGTAGTTTTTTTTTCAGGTTTCCGGAAAACAGGCCGCAGGAGGACGAACCAAAAGATCAGTGGGTGTATGCAGGGGCGTACAAATCTGGCATACTCAACTACAACTGCCCCGACCTTTATCCGAGTTGCCCTATTTCCTTGGTCGGCCTTCTTATGAATCTTAAGCCAACAAGATAACTATTAAAAACAGATAATGCTTTTATATACTACGCATTTCAACAAATTTTAATCTCTAATCTCCCTCTTTTGGTCTGAGAGAAGCATTTCGGCTTCTCGCCATGTTCAGTGCTAGATCAACATCGAGAATAGGTAAACCAAAATTATTAGAAACGTCCAAACCACGTTCATCATCCAGCATAACACAAGAGTATGTCTCTCAATTTTAGAAGAAAATTCTCTATTTATAACTAACATTAACCAAAACGTCCCAAATAAATAATAAATGTATTAAAATAAACTACCTTTTTCCAATTTTACCAAAGATTATTATTTTTGTAAATAATTCACATGAATAAAACCTGTCATGATTCCAGTTTTCTTTTTTCCTGTCCGGCTAGAAAATATTTCATATTTTCCCTTAAAATATTCCGTTTATTTTATTTATTTTAACTTCAAAGAGTTTTTTCTTCTTTTATAAATACGGTTCCATTGATCTCAAGGGTAAATGTTTACTATAACCGTGGTGATAAAGTAGAGAAAAAAGTTCCTGTACCCTCTTCGAAGACCCAAACAAAACAACCGGTGATTTTTGATGAGGAGTAATGTGTTGCTTAAGGATTACACAAGTTTATAAAAAATTCAGTCGCTGTGTAAAAATGAAACATTGGTGAACCATCCACATCCTCATTGTGTTCTGTTTTAACATAAACAGTAAAGAAAATTTGTATCATTTTTGCAATTCTTAATCAAAACAAAGAAATTTAATTAAATAATAAATTTAATATTTTAATTGAACATTTTTAAACCCTACCGACGGCGATATAAACATCGAAAAATCCGTAATTTTGTTTAATAAACTTTGCTAACACTAATTAATTAATGTTTAGAATTTTATGAGATTTTTAATTGTCAACTTTCTTCGTTTTGCGTTTTAGAAATTGTTTAAGTACACAGTTTCAAATTGTTCAGAAAAAATTTAAATTTTATTAGTAGAAAATAAAAAAATACATCAAAAACCGACATTTTTGGAGAATTCAGGGATGTTTTATTGTTGAGCTTGGCACATATTGCAAACTCACAAGAATAGTGACACAACTAAAAAAAATTTCACAGAAGAGACAAATGGAAGTTTACTTTTTTAACTTATGTATTAAGTACACGCAATTACGGTTGTTGGCAATAAAAACTGTCATGATCAATCAATATTGTGCTTCGTTTCTCCAAGACTTAAATGAAAATACAAAACTTTAACAATCCAGCTGTACTACCCTTAAAAAACTGTACCTTTTTTGTGTAACAATTTTTCTTGCAGATATTGGCTGACAAACTAACTTAAATTACTGAGATTACTAACTTAAGTTACTGAGCCAAAGATAATGGCGGTCAATGAATGACTAAGGATATTAATTTTTTGTAACAGTAACAGACAACATACAAACCCATCAAATGAGCATAAATATCCATATAGCAATTTTGCTAAGATTATTTTTGACTCAAATTTGCTTTCACCCTAGAGTCAAGGTTAATTATTTATTTAAAATACAAAATTAATTATAAAAATATAGGTTTTATTGATTATTACAAATAAAAATTAAAAATTGAAACTATAAAATAATGTAAAAGTTAAAAGACAACATAGTTAAAAAATTAGAAAAACAATACTATAATTAAGAATGTTATTAAAATAAAAGAAATGAAACAGAAATAATAGACGAACACTCTAAATCAATCCTTTTTTTTTTAAGTTAATTCCTACTAACAGTAAGGTGTTTTCCAACGTCCGGATTTCGAGCCCTTAGCTCATCATCAGGTCGAAGGATTTGTAAAACCGTTGTAGAAATCCTTCAATCTGATGATGAGCTAAGGGCTCGAAATCCGGATCGTTGGAAAACAACATACTGTGAGTAGGAACTATCTTTTTTTTAAAAAGGATTGACCACCACACTCACTCCATCATTCATCATTTCTACTCTAAATCAATGTATGGTCTTGAAGAATGAAGAAATTTCAGTTGTTACTGCCAAGCTTTCGACCTATTTTAAGGTCATCATCACGGCCAGTATTAATTTCACCTAAATTAATCAGTATAGGCACCTTAATCAATTAATTGAAATTATGGTCATGTAATCTATTTTCGGATAAAATATAATTGTGGTGATTCAGTATTTACACTATTTTGACTTTATGTAACTTTTTCTCCTGCAAATTTGAAGCTAAGCATTCATGCTTCCCAGATTTAAAAGTAAAATCCGAAGAGCCAGAACTGCCAGCATTATAGATCATACTGTTCTTATCATTAACCGTTATCAAAGAGCAACGAGAAGATCCAATATTCATAACACTTTGCCCCAAAGTGATTGCCAAAGAGGTGGAATTTGACTGACAGACTTCATTACCATTATTGATGAATGTTGCCTTCTTGTTGGCTGTCAACAAATTGAGATTCAGTTAGTCCACGTGATGTAAAAGTCATTTTTACAAATATTTCATACACCGATGCTTTAAAGCTCGACTCAGAACCAAGATGTGAAACTTTTCGTGAATGGTAACAGTTTGTTCCCGCCAATTCAAAAGTCACACATAGCGGCCTGGAAGCTAAAAGTCCATCTACAGTTGTGACATTTTGCCTGTAGCATCACACACCAGAATATTAAAATAAAAAATTAATAAATAAATAATCCAGATTTTATTATTTTTCGACGTATATCACTTGTGATATCTCCATTGGTATTTCATTTGGTGAATATTGAACATGAATGTATTGGTGTGAATATTTAGTGTGAGATGGCTTATGGTGGATCATTGAATACCCCCTCGACCCACGATTACATTCATTATAGATAGTATGTGTAAAAAGTTATAAACACATATCGAGTACTCCATCATTCTTCTTACCCTGGCATGGGTCCCTGGACATTCGGGGCATAGATGCAACGAAAAGGTTGACATGTTAGCCGAAAAGGGAGCCAACATGGACACTATAGGGCCAGTACCTTACTGCGGCCTAACAGCCTGACACAGAAGAGGATACATCTTAAAATAGATGCTTAATATGTCGAAAAACTGGTGGATCAAAACCACAGGTATGAGGCACGCGAAGAGATTCATAGAAGGAACATCCGCAAAACTTACAAAAGAATTACAGGAAGGCAACCGCAACCGAACCAGGATTCTGGTTGGACTCCCGACGGGGCACTGCAAGTTAAGAAAGCACATGCACTGGATAGGAGTAAAGACAGAAGAAACACTGTGCAGATACTGCCAGGAAGAGGAGGAGACCGCAGAACACGTTTTATGCTTCTGTGAAGGTCTATGTGGTTGCAGATTCTTAAAACTAGAACAAGAAAAACCACAAGCAAGATCCTACACCAAGGAACCGCTGGCAAAGCTGTGAAGGCTGGTTAATAGCCTGAAGCTGGCCAATGAGTTATAATTAACAGAGGATTTGTTTAGTTCGAGGTGCAGTAGGCCTTTTGGCCGCCTCTCTTATCCCTAATCCCTACCATCCTTCTTGACTAAATGATATGTAAAGTGGAAAGAATGTTTCTAAGAATGGATGAAAGTATGATTGTTCAAAGGTTTAAACACAGCATGCGGTGAGGGGTTAAATTACTAGATGTTGACAGCCCCTGGAGCATAAATTTCTAAGCCCGATTCGGACTGCCAAAACACTGTGGTGGGGATTCTAGTAAAGCTCTTTACATAATTATTGGTGAGGTTCCGGTAGGTTTCATATCCTCATCAATCCGCGACCAACTTTTCCGCTTAATTTTGAATTTTGTCTTACATCTGTTAGAAACTTGACACTTCACCCAGTTTGCCCATCAGATGCTCTCTGCTCCAGCCACTCTTCGCCCTCCTGATACATCTCTCCAGGTCTCTGGAGTCCGCTTTCCGCGTTCTAAGGTCATGAATAGAAAAGATACTGGGTTTAGAAGGCGCCAAACTCAAGCAAACAAACTGTGCAATAACACAAAAATCCGAGCTTTGGGTATGAGCGACGGAATTATTGAAACATTCGCCGTTTTGTCTTTTTTCTAACCATCTGATCAGAATTTATTGCCGATTTGCGTTTACCTTAGCGTGCTGTTGTGATTAATTGGAAATTCCAGATTCGCTCTATTATTTTTCTCTCTCCGTTCGGAAAAGTAGCCGTGTTAATTCTGCGGACAAAAGGCCCAATTGATTGAATGACGCTTTTGTTCCAGCCTGTAGCGAAACGGAACTGAAAACCCTGCGCTATGATTTACAGGTGTACAGATACCGAGATAGGAAGATGAAGTGATAAAGCCGTCTTTTGCCAGGTTGAAGGTATTGTTAGTCGGCACGCTTGTAAGGCGGCTAATTGCCAGGGGGGCGGCTGATTCACCCCCCTGTTAACTACTGTCACGGCAACACAATGACCTGAAGAATCAGCACTTCTTCGGGAACATCTCTCAGAATATATCTTCAATTCGTGTAAGAGCCTTTTACAACATTTTAGATAACAATTTATCAAAGAATCTAGACCGTTGATAACGAAAAACCCATATCTATTCTCCCAGTGACAATGAAATATACGATTGTGGAATTTTAATAATGCTTATAAATTAATTAATTAATTGAAAAATGCCAAAAAGGAGAGAAAATTCAAAAGGTGGGGTTGAGACGGGATGTTGGTGTCCGAGTGGATCGAAGTCGCGAGAGCTCCAGTGATAGAGCAGAGGCGTATTTAGCCGAAGGTCGTGGGTTCGAATCCCGCTTGTGACACTGACTTTTTTATCTCAACCAAAGCCTTAATTAATTGAAATTTATTAATTAAAATATTAAAATGATCATAAAGCAATTTAAAAAAAATTAGGCAAATCTCACAAAATGGCCGGTGCGTTGAAAATATTTTGTAGCTTGGTAGTTTCTGATCATTACTGTCTTCCAATCCTTGCTGTTTTTATCTGTCAGAATATCTTTGTTTCCGTGTGTTCGTTTGGGTTTGTTTGTGGCAGTGCGTGTTTGTCTTTTTCTTTGGACGATGGATTTAT